CGCAACTTTACTAGCAGGCTAGGCGGACTAGGTCTACTTCTGTAGGTGTACTTCTGTAAATCATATTATTTACACTACATATATAGCCTTTTCCAACACCTACTTAGCTTTATAATTAGGCTCCCTTGTGATGGGGATTGAATAGCCATACCATGTCAACATCATGAAATCCAGCCATATCAGCATTTTTTCAATGTACAATAATGGTGTTCTTTAGTTTCTCTGGATATTCTGCTAGATGATATTCAAAGAATGTAAGCACAGAACGTTCATGATCAGAGACACTAGTGTGTTGCCTATATAACTTTAAATATTTTTGGTCAATAACTAATAAGAATCAGTGAAAGATGTTGACCACAGATTTTCTGGTGTTCATCCACATAAATGATTAACTAGTTTAAAAGTGTATGGTTGTCTCTCTCTCTATAATTCAATCAGAAGATAGATTATAGCTGTTGCACCTATCTTTTTTTTATCCCAAAAATTGGACACAAGGCTGATTCAATGATCAATAGGCACCACAAATCTTAAAAAAAATTCAATGACAAGTTTTCTTACTTGTGTTTCTGCTTTCTTGCCATTTGGTGAAATAGCCCATCACTACCATGATGTATTTATTCCAACTGTTACTTTGTGGTTGGGGATAAAGCACAATACTTAGCATTACATGCTGTTTCTGTCATGGACCTATTTAACTCACAACATAATACACACTATTTATGTCAAATATATACAAATTTCTAGCAGTCATCTCATTATAAGGATTCTCTTACTACTCTCCAGTGTGGTTCTGCATTATTCTTGATGACTTGATGGTAAGCCAATTTCAAAGATAACATTTCAACAGAAATTGTGATACTAACAATGTAGCTAAATACATGAGGCCTAGACATTCATGAAATTTCTAGAGAGCATGATAAAAAAAATATCCTTCAACATTACATTTTCTGGACATAATGTTACCATCTGAAAATTTGTATCTTAGATAAACAAAAGAAAAACTGCTGAGATCTTACAGATAATATAAAATAAATCTGCAACTAATAAACATTCAGACACACATTTTCACTATTTAACATCTATATCCACTATTCTTGATACCTCACTGGTAAACCAACTTCACAAATAACAGAAACTGCAAAACTAATGATACAGTCAACTCTCAAGTGAAACTTGCTTGTTCAATCTTCATTTCACAACTCCTATCATATTTTGTGAACTATAATTTTGGTATTTTGATTGTTTAATATGTTTTAGCTAGGGTTCTTTAAAAATTCTCCTTTTGTGTGTTTCGTGAAGGATTATGTTATATTCAAGTGACACTGTGTTTAAAGGGTACATCTTTGGAAGTATGAAACAATACCTTTTTTATGAATTGTCTTAAAGGTTTTGTTCAGTATTTTAAATTTATTACAAATGTAATTTTTCTCAAAGGGCTCTTGCCTTTATATATAATTTTTATAATATCCTATTAACTTAGTATCTTTTATAAAAAGAATTTTCCCGATGTAACTACTGCCTGTGTATCCTTTACTTTTTTCCAATGTTACCATGCTTAAATTTATTTTTTTGCTTTGTACTAGCAGTTGAAAGGTGAAAACAAAATTTAATGTAATAACATATTTATTTTCTACTAAACTCTTCAAACTGTCATCCTAAGTAAATATCTAATGCTTTTTATTTATTATTAATCACAAATTAATTATTACTTTTCAGTTTAAAATTTTAAGTTTTAAAAAAAATATTTCATGACAATTACTTCCCGTTAATTGCCAACTTCTACATTCTCTCATCTCCAGTAATAAAGAGTTCAGCAATAGTCACAATCTCTTTAGCTAACCTCAAACACTTTTGGGCATCTGTTCTGGAATATACAGAGCTTGGAATATCAGGGTATTGGAGTTTATCTGGATATCTCATTCTGTTGTAATCAATTATTATATTTTCAAGAGACCTAACAGACTCTCTCAAGTTTTTTATCTGTACAGATGAATCATAATTGTCTAGAACATCGATTATATTCTGAATCCTATGACACTGTACATTGTCAGCCTTCATCTTGTCTCTTGTGTACAACATTCCTTTCACAGCTTTTTCTGCTGCCTGTAGAACAAATACAGGTTAAACGCCAGATTAGTTAACTCTTAATATTAAAACTAAATCCTTTGTTAAGTATATTATTATAACACTTTCACTTCAGATTTGTGACATCCCAACTCACTTAGCTTAAAGTTCATAATTTAATTTAAAAACACTGAAACATTAAGGGTGAGGTTTTATACACATTGGATAGAGAGCAGCAACAATGATAAAAAAAAGTCAGACTATTGTTAATTTTCAATAAAAACCACGTTTTCATTAGCCAAAGAAAATATGACTTTTCTTCTGCACTACTACAACCTTGCTGTTGATACTAGTGAGACTCTGTTCACAGCATTGAAATCCAGTCTTTTTACTAATAACACCCTAGATACTAGTGAAAACAGTTCAAAAGGTAATGATTTTGTTGCAATGAATCCATAATACTGAAGCTAGTAAGTCTATTTTCTATTGACTCCATAATGCTAAAACTAAGTGTAAAAGCTAGCAAGCCAGAGTTCTACTGAAATCCTAATAGTAAATATGGTTTTAAAGCAAATGAATTTCTGTTCTATTGAAACTAGTAAGTCTCCATTTTACTAAAACTTCACTATTGAAGTTAATTCTAGCTAGTTAGTCTCCGTTCTACTGAAACCTCACTGCTGAAGCTAGTCCTATGCTTGTGACTCTCTGTTCTATTGAAAGTGGAAGTTTGTGCTAATATTAACACTTCCCTTACCTGAAAATCTATTTCTGATAGACACTCCCCCCAGTATACAGATTAACTATTTTCCTATTAAGAATGCATTATTCTGCCTTGGAGACTTGTATTTCACCAGCCTGATGAAACTATCACCTAAAATTCATGTTAAGCATGTGAATTTGCACAAACGTGCAATGTTGAGGAATCATGAAGCAAAGCCCTCCACTGATAGGAATGTGACACATCTTCTTGCACAAGTCCTTGTTCTATGAAAGACAAACAAGCAAAATGCAATGGGAAGTAGGAAGGAAGAGTGGGAATGTGCATGGACGTATCTATCAGAAATACATTTTCAGGTAAGAAAAACGTTAACTTCCAATACAATAACTCATCTACATGCAGAGAGTAGCTAAAATCCTATGTTGAGATGGTAAATGGTGCAGAAATTACTAGATGAGCCGAAAGAAAGTCCATGGGGTTTGACACCTTATGGCAGGGGCTACATAGGGGCACACCAGTGGAAGATTGCATCTCATCTCAATCACAGTATACTCTTTGCCAGAGAAGAGACAAGAAACCTAAATGTGTTGCGAGAATGGGTGGAATAGGTACATGACCATCCAAGAGGTTGCACACAAGCCATCAGAATGCCAATGTGTAGTAAGGTTGGGGCACTTTCAAACTGTACCAACTGTGCTCATCCCCTTGACCATCAGTCTCTATGAGTAAATACCAGCTGTGAGAGCAAGGAACATACAAAAAGTATCAATGTGCATATTCTCAACTGTCAGATATTAAATGTCTCTGCCAGTAATGGGAGGAAAGTACTGCAATGTGCACAAAGTTAATGATACTTATGAAACCACCACTCAACCATTAGACTCTACAGACCCAACACCAGTTGTGGGAACATGGTGAATGAGTGATCAGACTTGAATATTGAAATATATCAATAATTCTGAAAGCAAATACAGTGAGGTCATGTCCTTGCAGTAGTTGATAAGGACAAAGAAAGAGTAGGTGAAATGTGTCCAATATCTTTTAGCACCACTGGCAACATTATCACATATGAAAGGTCAAGGCTTTTACCCAAAAATGCTGAAATGCTACTGTTCTTCAAGTGCAGTTTAAACAAATTCCAAAAATACAGGCATTCTGCAAACTGGTGTGCACATTTTTGTCAGTTAATTTTGAAAGATGAAAGTAAAACTGGAATGTTCTATTGCTGATTATCCGGTTAGATGTAATAAATGCCAATTTTTGTGTATGTTGTTGTTGTTCTGGGGGGGGGCAAGGGGAGAACCCGGTCCCAGTTAACACCCGGCCCCAGTATTTGGCCAAATTTTACTACCCATGCATCCCTAGTTTATATGTACTCACAGTTTCTAGCTTTCAATAGCTTCACCTTCCATTTTTTTTTCATATGGATTCACAAGTGCTAAATTTCTGCTTATAAATTAAAACGTTTACAATCTGTTGAAACTTTTCTTCTAATGTTAACATGCCTTTTAAAATCATTTTTTGCATCAATACTGCATCAAATTTATTCAATTAACAGATCAGCATCAAGCCAAAATATTTAGAGAAGGACCTGTAAAAACAAATAAAGAAATTACATCCATTTCAGTACTGTTTGTTTCATTTTAGTAGGAAGGTTCCTTAATTTATAACCTGAGCAACAAAAATTTTCAAATATTTTTGACAAAAAATCAAACCTTTAGTGTGATTTAATAAGTAAAATTTCATAACTCACTTGCTGACACTTAAAACATATCCAGTTGAAAGCTTGATAACAAGGATTTTGTAGAGAAGCATAAGCAGCATCCAGATCTTTTTTAGCTTGGTTCAACCACCGGTCAGCTTCTTTGGGATCTGGACAAGGTGTATAAATACAATGATTGGCATTGAAAGACCTTCTGTGATGGGTGTTGTAGTAAGTATATCTTTTTTGCACACCTATTATAATATTGCAAAAAATGGTCTCTTCCCTTAAGAACTCTTGCATGTTGCTTGAATACTCTGTAAAGTTGTTTATACTTGCTTTGAATTTTTCACACATTTCTTCTGAAGGGTTCAGGGAATAACAATGTGTTATCTGTCTCTTTATTGTATACAATTTGTCCTCCTCATCAAGTGGTAGATTCCAGATTGTTCTTTGAATTTCACTAAAATTTAGATCATATGATGTTTCACTAGATTCTAGACCATTTTCCTGAAGTTTGAAAAGCCTACTAACAGACACTGTTGCCTCTTCATTTCCTAAATCAATCAAGTACATTGTTGAAAGATTATGAAGGTCAGAAGAAATCTTCTTTTTAATTCTACAAAATAAATAAACTGGTGAATCTTCTAAATACCCCTTAACCAATGGATCAAAAGACTCATACACCACATACTGTCCTACACAAAAGTTGTAGAAACTGTTATCAAGGGAACTATGCAATTCTTTAGGTACAAGTTTTCCAAGACAATGTTTCCCTAAAACTTGTTGCTGTGGAAAGAAATTAGAAGATGCAATACTGAAGTCATCAAACAGCTTATCCAACTCCTCTTTCTGCTCTTCTAATAAATAATGTAGATAACGCAATGATGATCCAAGAATCTTATTTGTCATGATGTCAATGGCAGTAATCATCGCTTCAGTTATCTGCTTGTTTTTTGTCACAAATTCTTCCACATAAACACAAGCAAAATAATGTCCAAGCTCTTGTCTAATTTCCACAAAACTTGATTTCCTTGCTACACTGCCTGGAACACATTTTCCATGAAAGGAAAACTGAGTTTCCAAATTTTTCACCTGTTTAATCTGTAAGGATAACAGTCTGTCTTCAAGATCTTTAACATCTTCTTCTTTTAGTGTAGAGTTTGATTGTGATTTTTCATGAACAGCTAATCGAATAAAATTAGCAAGAAAAAATTGATTTTTTATCTTTGCTTCTAATTCTTTAGAGAGTTCCCCAATGTTCTCTGCAGCTTTACTTTCATCTGTTAAAGTTTCTCTCACCAGTTTACTGAGAATGGCAGGCCGAAAATCTTCTGGTAACAGAGATATGGTAGCTAATGGATCCACAACACTCAGTTCAATCTCCTGAAATCCAATGAAGAAACTGAGGGCAAGAGACTTAACTCTTTTTCGTGTAACCTCATTGTCAGAAAAGACAAGGTCCCTACTGTTGGAAAGAGTCTTTTCACTGTTCAATAGATACAAAATATTTGATACTATGTGCGTGTTACCCTTTATCAAACTGAAAAAATTCCACATGGCCCGTTTTGCTGTTTCCAAAATAAATTTCTGCATTTCAATATTTGAAGCATCTTCTTGTGCTGACAGCTTGAAAAGCTTTTTCAAAACTGATGCATATAAAGTGGCTGTGGGTGTCTCTAATGCTCCAAGCTGCTTGAAAAGTGGAAAAAATTTACCATATACTGCTGGAGCTTTATACACAAACCCTAAAATTGTGTATTCTGATGTTATTTCCAGAACAATGCTAGTTGACGGGACCATTTCTTGATGCTCTTCCAAATATATTAGAGGGCAGTTGTTAAGTGAAGAAACATCCTCTTCAGTTAGATCTGAGTCTTGTAGATATGAGTATAGTTCCTCCATAACACCTTCAAGTACTTCTTTACTTTCATTTTCTGAAAGAAAAATTTTAACTGTTTTTTGTAAACTTTGACAGACATTTATTATGTGTTTAATTACTTGTTCTTTTGTAGGTTTTTTCTGCACTAAATGAAATACAGGCTGTGATTTACACTCAAACAAACCTTTTACAAGATTGGTTGTAGTCCATGCAATTTTAAAGTAAGTTTGTGAACATGCATGTTCTAATGAAACAAACTGAGTTTCACTCTCATATTGTTTATGTATAAGATTGTAATATCCTCTTTCATTCAGATGATGTGGACTTATAAATCTTATATTTTTGACAAGTTCACACAAATTACTTAGTTTATCTGGACTAATATTTCTCATGTGTTGGTATAAGGTTTCTGACTTCTCTGTCAAAACTACAGAACTGTTATGCAGTCCTTCCTTCTCAATTTCTGTGGCAAATGCTACAAACAGGTCTTCTGTCACTTCTTTTACCAAACCAAATTTACACAGAAAGTCTAGCCACTCATCCTCACCAAAGGGTCCAGGAATAACAGTAGCTTCAGGACGCATTAATGCAAGCAACTTGTTTCTCGGATCAAAAAAGTTGCATGCTCTGTATAACAATTGGTCACTTTTTTTCAAAAACTGGAGTCCTTTTAGCACAGATAACATTATGTCTTTTTCAGTTTTTGTCAGTTTCAATAACATATCTTTAACTATCTTCAGGTGATATATCCTTTCCTTTTCAGTCACTAAACCAAATGAGGGCAACACATACTTGACATACAACTCAAAAAGAGACAATGAAGATATTTGTAGATACTTCAAAAGATTACTAAAACTTTGTTCTTCTTTTAGTACAATAAAACACAACTTCTGAAAAACTGAATCACATCCCCCTATTGTTATGAAACTGCTTGCTTCCAAGTAAAAAACATTTGGAAATTCAGACAGAGCAACAATGGAGCCACTAATTGTCAGATATAATGGTAATCGTTTTAACATACTCTTAACCTCTACATTTCCACAATTTTCAAGGGTTTCCAAATTATGAGAAAAATATTCTAAGATTTTTTCACGTGATGTTTCAAAGCTGTATTTCAGGGACATATCCTGAATATATGAATCAAGAGCTTTCAAGATAGAGACTGGATCATCAATATCCGCAAAGAGTCTTAAAAAAGTGTTTCCTTTTTTTAATGATGCCAAACGATTGTTCAGAATGGGAACAGAAAATTCACTTATCAGTGTGCTTTGCACAGTCTGATCTCTCTTTGATTCCTCATTATGAAACAGGATGTTTTGGGCATATTTGAAAGGAATTAAAATGTTTTCATCATCCTTAGTAACAACTGAACCAATATGTTTTTTCCTTGATCTAACTGCTGGAATCAGAGACCAATTTTCAAATAGCTGACAAATGTTTTGAAGTTTTTTTTCAAGACATAATTTTTGCTTTTCTGTATCACTTTGGCTTTTTTTTGCACGAGACACTTCATCATCAAGGTATTTCCAAAACCTTTTAATCCATTTTTCAAAACTTGGTGTCAGTTTAGTAGTATTTCCTTGTCCATGCTCCTTAAGACCCACTGTACTCTGTAACAATTTTGAAAAGGTACAAATATCAAGATGTTGGAGACATTTAGTCTCATTAATGATGTTCAAGAAACAATTAAGTTTTGTATGTAATATCTTGTCTGCATGCTCTTCTAATAACTCCCCATAACAAGAAACAATAATAGGGTTTAATTCACTAAACTCTCTCAGCTCACCAGATTGTGTCACTAAGAGTGGACAACCTTCAAGTGTTTGGGAAAAGTCTTTTACTTTTATACAGTACTCAGCTACCATCTTGACATTCTCAACAGTTTCAAATGGAGTAGCTTCCACTTGCTGAGGAAGTGTCCCAATCCTGCAGCCATTCAAACACCCATTGTTTTTAAATGATTTTAAAAAGGTGATCACTTCTTTTGGACTAATTTTCCGAACAACTGGTGGTTCATTTTCAGGTTGATGTTCCTTCAAGATCTCATAAATGTAGAAGAAATGACAACATATGAGTTTCATTCCAAGCTTAATCAAAACACTCTTATATTTTTTTGGCTTATCATCTATCTCTTTTTTAGTCATATCTAAACAACAGTCTTTCTTATAAAAAAAACCAGGAAATCCATCCAAAACTTGTGCAGGTACCCATTCTATATCCAACTGGTTGTTTCTTTGTACATCAACAGAATGTGTTGGAAACAAGGGGGGTCGTGTAGCTATCAGATCCTCGTAAAAGGTCACGAACAATATTTCCCAGTAACCATCCAAATTATTTTGTTTAGGAAACAGGGAAGAATAATTCTCAATTTTAAATTTGACTGGACAGTATATGGTCAATTCACATAGAGCACTTAAGTAGCATGGAACAATAAGAGCTTTAATCAAGTGTTCATTCCACCTTTTTTTGAAATCATTTTCTGTCCACAAGCTGTGCCTCGTTTCGTATTCCAAGAAAAATGTTCCATTAACGTGGACAGGTAGATTAGTTTCAGTAGCAAGTGGAAGAATACAGTAAACCTTTTTCTTTGAAATTTCAAATCCAGTATGGCACAATTCCAAAGCTACACCTCCCCTGGGTAGCATTGGGATCTGTTTTTTTTTCCACTTTTCTTTTAGTTCTTCTGAGATTTTTTTATTACTAGAAAATCCAAGCTGTTCACAAACTAAATATGTGATTTCTTTTCTCTTTGAGTCACTTATCTCTTTTGTGTAACATATACTTTTCATAGTAATAGTATCCACATCCATAAACTGATTACCTCTGTTAATTTTTTCAGTTTCATTTTTCATATGTTCTGTATACTCATACTGCTTTTTCTGATTACTGCCACTCATATTCACCTTTGCACAGTAATCAATTTTGAGCTTTCCATCTTCCTCAACACTTACTACAGAAATTTCTTTTATATTGTGCAAGAACAAAAGAATTTCAAATACTTGACAATGAAATGTTTTCAGTAAATTTTCAACATATTCTGTAGTTACCACATTTTGTGAAATATTCGATACATTTGCCATTTCATCTGTTCGAAGAGGGAATCTAAATAAAGTTCCATTGCCTTTTAGGTCAAGAGTTTTTTCCAAGTAGGCTGAAAACAAATCACAGTACTTTTCCCGTAAAGATGACAATTTTACAAGGCTAACACCTGGCGAGTGTTTATAAGACATGGAGAAATATTTACAGTTGGGATCAAATAGACAAAGAGTTTCTTCCACTTCTGGACTAACAGTCAAGAATGAAGGAATGTCTGTAATATGGTATACTGCATTAAAACCAACACCAAATTTTCCTACTTTAAGAAGATCATTGGATTTGCTTCCAATGCCAATATTTTGTATTCCTTCCAAGTCACGTGAAGAAAATCCAGCATCACTGTACACACACAGTGCTGGTCCTTGATTTGATTTCCATAAATCATCTGGCATTTTCTCCGATGGATGTGACCTGAAATCCTTGATGAACATAATGTGGTTGGCCCCAGCATCATCTGCATTTTGAACAATTTCTTTCATCAATGAAGAATCACTAGGATATCCAGACAAAATGTTCCTCAGACGAGTGGTAAGTTCTTCATGCTGTCCAAATGGTAAGAAATGTAAGTGTTTTTTCAGATCTTGTTCTCTCATTGACTTAATGCCAAGTTTTTTGGCAATCTCAATTGAAAATTTTGGATGAAGAGTGTTTAAATTACTTTTGTCCATGAGCCAATCACAATCATCCCTACACAAATTTTCTATAGGCGTAAGATATCCTGCTGAGTTTGGTAAATGCAAAGTTTCAAGAATTTTTTCACTCTCATGATCTGGCAGACACTTTGCAAAATGTGTGGTCAAAATAATGATATGTTCTATGTCTGAAGAAGCCAAATGAATATTTTGTTTGTCATGTTTAATCAACTCTAAAACCTTAACAATGTCTTGCATATCAAAATCTTCTTTTACCCCAATTTCAGCAAAAAATATCTTGAACTTTCTCAATACTGGTAAGCGTTCTGCTGAAAAGATGTAAGGTTCAACATTCTTGTTGAATTCAAAAGCAACCGTGGAAGCTTTGACTAGTTGGCCATCCATATATATAATATCTCTATCAACAAAGTATTTCCTGATAGAACAGTGTGGCATCTTTTTATCTAAAGCATTATTTAAAAACATGTAAATGCTGTGTAGGATTTGTTCACAGTGAGAAACTCCATGATGTTCACTTATCTTTATTAACTGTTGACACACTGTGTAAACTGGGATATCTTTTTTTTCTCTTACACCAAGCCAAGTCAGTACATCTCTCAAATCCAATGAGAAACATTTGTTGTCCAAAACAAATTCACAACAACCAATAAAACTTGAGCATTCTGAAAACCATACATCCTTTGCACTGACAAATGATATTGCAGATTCTCCAAACCATGAATAAGGCCAACTTTTTGGTTTATCAAGAACAGGAAAGATTTTAAGTGTTTGGATCTTCTTTTTCAACTTCTCAGGACAATGTTCATAATCTCTCTTATACTTGGTGATAAAACTTAAGGTTTTCTGACAAAGTGATATTGCCATTTCAGAGTTGTAACAAGCAAGGTTTTCAACACGTATGCATCTTTCTAGTATAGCCTCCCATGAGAGCTCATCTCTTGCCATTCCTAGCTTTACAAGAATATCAAGAACTTCTTCTTGCTGAAAATTGTGGTCATCCTGGCATTTGCTTCCTTTGGGAAAACATTCTTCATTTTCTAAGAACAGCTTTGAAACTTTACTTTTAGGGTGAATAAGGTATTTTGGTTGTTTCAACTTACCATTTGGAATAGTTGGGACACACGGATTTGTTTTTAAAATGTTACCTAAGCCTGATGATTCATGGTTGATGGCATATATGAGAAGTCTATCTCTTACTTTCTCTTCCATTTCTTTATATTTCAGGAAAGAAAATAACAACCTGTAAAAGTCTGGTTTTGACACAGTTCTTGCTTCCAGTTCTTCTCCAAACTTTAGAGTTTGAAGGACCTGCCTCAGTTTTAAAGGTAAGTGAATAACCAACTCAGTTGGATCATTCCAAATAACTTTTAATGTCTCAATGCCAATATTTCCAACATCATTATACATTTGAAGATTCAATAATCGAATGCATTGGAATGATGACCAGCAGCAGTTATCATAAAACAATTTCAAGTCATCATGTACGACAGACTTATAGAAACTAGTGATCAAAGGTTCAGTTAATTGTCCAGAAATCTCTGGCCACAAATCATAATACATGCTATTTTCACTAAAATGAAACTGTTTCATTTCTTCTAAAAGACTAATGTATGCATGCTTAACAGGACCAGCAAACATAAATTGATTCCAAACTGCATTTTTTCTAGTTTTGTCATCACATGTATCAAAAACAAGTTGTCTCCTGTCTGATGTCACTGCAAAGAACCCATTGATGTGAACAGGTAGTCCAGTTTCAATAGGCAATGGCAAGAAGCAAAACAAATGTCCACTTGTGTAAAACCCAAAAGGAACATCTGAGAGGGATATCAACTTCAGATTTCCTTGAAAGGGAACAGCTACAGCAGCAATAGGTAACACTCCATCACCTGTCTCTCTTGAATTCAGTAAAACTCCTTTCTCTGTAGATCTGTGTGAGGACCAACTCACCAGCCATGATAAGTCACTGCTTTGTACACTGCACAACTGGCTTGGATGATCTTCAACATTAACAGTTATTTGGATTTTTTCACATAAACTTGCTATATTTTCCTGGTCTTCCACTCCTCTCTTACTTGCAAAATAAGACACAGGAGATTTAACTAAGACTGTGTGTGGGTTGGCAAGTATTTCACATTTCTTTTGAACTCTTAAAATAAGTTTTGCTTCATGAGGGCCATCAACCTGTGCTGGTAAATGATACAACTCAATAGTTTTTACATTTTGTGTAAACAAAAGCAGGTTGCCAGCTTGTTTCATGAGAATTTGGAGAAATTCATTCATCTCTTTAGAAGAATAAACTTTTTTGCTTATTTCACTATTTTCAGCTTGTACTGAAGATCTTAATGGAAGACGAAAGAGTGTTCCATCAAAATAAATGTTATCTTCTTTGACCATCTTACATCCAAAAATACCTTCAAAGGGTTTAAACTGCCCATTCAGTTTTTTTAGCATCAATTTGTTTTTTAAAAGTTTTAGATCAGCTTTTAGTCCTGGTCGTTTTCCCAGGTACTTTTGATGTGGATCAAAAATAACAATAGTGTGTCCACTCATAAAACTTGGAACCTCAGTTAAATGGTAAACAGCATTAAAACCAAGGCCAAACTGTCCAATTTTATTCATTTCATTCTCTTTTCCACCTTTACCTAGCTGCGAAATATTTAGAAAATCTTGTTTTGTAAACAATGCATTATTGTAAACCCAGAGAGCAGGACCTTGACATGATGACATTTCTTTATCAAAAAGTAACAATCTTGCATCCAGGTTTTCTCTCTCATCATACATAAACTTCACTTCAGTGGCTCCTGCATCATCAGCATTTTGTATAAGTTCCTTTGGAACTGATAGTCCATCAGTGTATTCTCTTAACAGGTTATGAAGCCTAACTGTCAGGGGTTCAGACTGTCCATAATGCAAGTTTATTTCTTCAGTTTCATTGAGAAAATGATTCGTCAGGGAAGATATACCTAACTTTTTAGCAGTTGAGATAGGTATTTCTGGATGAGTGTAGAATAGTTCCTCATCTTCTAGGTCCTGCTCGTCAAAATCTCTCAGCTCTTCTTGTGTATAATACACACATTGAACAATAGGCTTAAAATTAATTTGAGAATCATCGGTAGCTGCAACTGGAATAAGACTCTCAGTATTACTAATATAACATGGTTCAACCCTATTCAATAATTGAACAGCTAGCTGAATATCTCCCTGTGCCTCTTTGATGGATACATTATTTGTTTCCAGAATTTTGTATTTATCTCTGATTTCCCTTAAAACATTTAAAAACATGTCTACATTCTGCTGCTCAGGACAACCCAGTTCTCTAAACAAAGCAGACATGCCCTGAAAATCAACAGGTAAAGGAGATCGGTAAGGGTAGAGTTCAACATCCTCTCTGATTGTTTTTAGCCACACTTGGTAAGGATACTGAAATGAATTTGCTGAACGAGTCCATATGCATTTTAAACCTTTCAACCTTGCACGATGAGTGCTATTTAACTGTTCCTTGTGTTCCAATAGATACTGGTATATTTCTGTTAGAATGTTCAGGTAAACATGATGTTCTTTTGTTGTATAACATTGGATGACATTTTGCAGATGGAATATTACTGCATCAAGTGAAGGTTGCATATAGTGGTACTTCCAAAACTGTTGAGGAACTGGTGATATTGTAACTGGTTGTACAGAACCTGAAATAAAATAAAATTCATAGCTAGAGAGCTCTGCAGGTTTCTCAATCTTAGGACAATTATCTTCTTCCCCGTAGAATGTTAAATTACACGGGTAGTTATCTGGCTTCTTTCTCAAAACTGGCCAACATCTGTATTGGTAGAAGCTTTCTTCTGATGAAATATTACAGATTTCAGATCTTTCCATTAAAAAACTAAAAAGTTTTGTTGCCTTTCCTAATGTTTCATTACAGTTCTGTACTCTCTCATCAATACAATGAGCAATGTCACAAATATCCTGAAGGAGCAAATCATCTACTGTTTTTAATCCAAGTTTTCTGAGGCCTGCATGAAAATCTTTATGTTCAAAGATTCCATTTGGAAATTTATCTTGAAACTCATACAGGTCTCTCAGGTCTCCAGAATGAGGATCAAACAGCTCATTTGGTTGTTTCAAGCAGCCACTTTTGTTAGAAACAAAACTGACTCTTTCTGCAAGGATAACAATTCTTTTGTCCTGGAAAAACCTTTCCCAGTTTTTCAGAACAAACTCCATGAAGTTCACAATTTCCATTTCAGTATATCTAAAATGTTCCTCTAACACCCACAATACTGTTTCTTCCATTTTTCCTTGCTTACCACCTAAACATTTTACTAACTGTGTCCTTGTTTCCATATTACTGGATATCAAGGGTCGAGGAAATTGGACAGGAAATCCTCCATCAGGGGCAATTTGGTTCTCATGATTGATACTTACATAAATACCTTCAGTATTTGGAAAGAGGGTTAGTGCTTTCAAAGTTTTACAGACATGTTTTGTGGCTGAGAATGCTTCTCTTTTTCCTAGAAATGTAACAAGGCAATCTTTTTCCTCGGTACTGGCTGAATTATTAAACTGTAGAACCTGAGGATTTTGACACATGGCTTTTAGAACACCTTCAACAGTTGGATATTGGATAAATTTACCAACAACACTTGAAAGGTAATCAGGAATGCTAGGAAGCACCACAACTCCCAGTTTTTCTACAGCTGAAGAAACAGCTGCTGGAAGAGACCCCAAGTTCTGCACAGTTCTTACAACAAATGGTCTTTCAAGTGGATGTAACCTGATGCAACCTTGTATTTTTTCAGGTACCAGTGGAATGTCCATCAGCATTGATAGTTCATCATGAAAATTATCATTCACAAATAACCAAACCTTTCTCAGCCAATTTTCATTCAGGATACTACTGTCTTGCAATGTAGCCATGTGGCTTTTCTGCAAGAGTTCCATATGAAAGCATCTTTTTAAAAGGCTGGGAATGTCCACAATCTTCAAACATTTGAAACCATATTTCTCTAATAAGAATAAAATAAAAAACTGAGTTAATGCAGATAAAAATGAGAGTAAAATTACCCATAATATCAGACTATTTCACTTTTCATTTCAGTATTTAGTTGATTAATAGACCCCCCCCCCATTATGATCACACATCTGATATAACAATATACAAAGTTTCTAGTTTAATGTTAAATTGTTCTCAACATACTAAAAAGTTAGGAAACACTAAAAATGTATTTGAAATTTTCATCAGCAGAATGTAAGATTATAGGCATTATTTCTGAAACATTATACACTACAACAAAATTATCAATTATTATCAGTGTGTGATTAATATTACAAACTATATATAACTAGTTATGTTTATTTTGAACAATGTTTAAGTGAGTTACAAATGGAGCTCAGTCAAACCAGATTAATGTCACAAGTGGGGTACTTCAAGGCTCAGTCTTGGGACCTTTGCTCATTTTAATTTACATCAATGACATAGATGAGGCAGTAGTCAATAAATTTGCAGATGATATTAAAATCTTCGGTGTTGCTACCTGTGAAGAGGATGTTGCTGATTTACAAAGGGATTTGGATCATTTAGTAAGTTGGGCAAATAAATGGCAGATGAGTTTTAATCATAATAACGTGGGGTATCATAATTTGAATTATAAGTATAATTTGGATGGGAATAACCTTAATAGTGTTATGAAGGAAACGGATCTTGGTGTAATGGTCAATCAGTCTCTAAAGCCATCCAAGCAGTGTGCTGTTGCTAGTGGTAGAGCAAATAGGATTTCAGGTTGTATCTAAAAAAATATTGAATGCAAGTCTAAAGAGGTTATACTTTCATTGTACAGATCACTGGTCAGGCCACATTTCGAATATTGTGTTCAGTCTTGGGCTCCTTACCTTAGGAAAGATATTGAATTGTTGGAAAGAGTTTAGAGAAGGGTAATTAAAATGGTGCCTGGAATGGAGCGGTTAATCACACAAGGAGATACTGCAATCTCTCAAATTGTTTTCTCTTGAAAAAAGAAGAGTTAGGAGAGATCTGACTGAGGTGTTTAAGGTTGTAAAGGAATTGATAGTGTTGATGCATCATGTTTTTTTCATATTTAACAGTGAGAATAGTAAGATTAGGGAACACAAATATAAATTTTGGCAAGGTAGGAGTCATCTTCAGCAAAGTTTCATTTTTCTAACAAGGTGGTTGGCCTTTGGAATGGGTTGCCTTCAGATGTTGTAGAGGCTGTAAATTTAAGTGAGTTTAAGAAAAAGCTTGATAAGTATATGAATGATAAGGGCTGGATTTAGGATATTTAAAAATTATTTTAATTTAGTTTAGAGGATGGAACAGAAGGGATGGACAAATAGGTCCCATGTAGTTCCAAATCATTAAGTTAACTTGAAGTTTGCATGACCATAAAATAAGATGTGTGTTGATATAAAAACAGATATTTTATAACAATTACATACATTTAAAAAACACAATCGGAAACAATCCCAGGCCAGCTGAGGTTTTAAATTATGGATAATAAAACAATAATGATTAACAAAGGGCAAAAAAAAATCAGATCTTAACACATTCCAGAATACTTAACTCTATACAGTAGAGTCAAAGTACATGTCCCAAATTTTTACAGTTACATTCAAAATTTAACTCAACTTTATTATCAGTGTATATCAATAAATCTGACATCAGAATGTAATTTATAATTTGAAATTTAATATTATCTAAGTATTTCTTACTTAATTTCAAAAAGATATGCTTAAAAATACTCCAATGTTCACTTCTCTGTGCTATGCAACGCTTACGGACTCTCAATTCTCCCTTATAGATTATAGAACTTTAATAATAATATCTACAGTTTCCAAACAATTAGAAACACAACTTATATATAAAAACAAATTCAAATATAAAATTTGAGCCCTCTGCCTTCTTGATTTGTAAAATATCAATAAATTTGGGAAACCCACCACAGAAGCCTCTCCTAATCTCTTCAGGTATTTCAAGCAAATTATTTATTTACACCAACTTCTCTCACAGTCAAATTTCTAACCAATACAAAGAGCATACTGTAAATGTATAGAAATCATAAGTTACTTTATTTACTTTTAACAGGCAAGGAAAATAGTTTTCAAAATAACTATTTATAGCTTAGTTGAAGTAGTTTGGGTACATTTGATTATAATGCCTCATATTTGTTTGTGTTATAAAGTGCACATTTTAAAGCTAAATGAATTATTTTTTGGACATTCAACACAGTGAGAAGAAAGTAAGATTAGTAAAGTATATCAAACAAATGTAAATGGACTCAATTCTAAACCAAGTGCCAATTTTTTTACTTTTTATGTATATTCTCCATCTATTATTATATTTTTTAACAAAAGTAATGAAAATGTAGAGCCTGACATGGCCTGATAATTAGAGCACTTGACTTGTAACCTGTAGGTCATGGGATAGGATCCCTGTAACCAAAAACATTTGCTCTCTCAGCTGTGGTTGTATTATAATGTACTGGTCAATCCTACTATGCATTGGCAAAATAGTTAGCAGTGAGTGGTGTTCACTAGTTGCCTTGCCTCTAGTTTTTCGGTGCCAAATTAAGAACAGTTACCGGGAAAAGAAATTGATGCCACCAGGTAAATATAACAGAGAATCACTGATGATGCTTCAGAAGTTAAGATACCCTAATGGTCAGCTGTCTCAGAACCCAAATAACAACAACAACAAAAAAAACAACTACTACTAAAATATACGTATTAGAAAGTTTTTAGGTCATACAATGAGACTTACATAAAATTCAGTTGATTAGCACATAACTTTACCCTGGTCATTTGCTTATCCCAAGCTAGCTGTTGACTACCAGATTTATTGCTTTTCACACAGGGAGAGGATTCAAAAAACAGTAATAAAATCATAAAAATAAAGTACTTGTACATAACTCTAATTATGTTACAATCTCTAGTTATTCTAGAAAGAAAAATGTATTATTGATTTTATTTCATATTTTTCGACAATTCACAATATTGATGTAGATAGTATTGGGGCAGAAAAATCAAATAAAATGTTTTACAAGCTACTGATATTCATTTAGGAAGTTCTAGAAGTCAAATAAATCAAATATGAAACTGTGAGATGAAAACAAGTATTTTTATTCTTAAGCATAAAAGTCATCTTTCACTCGGAAAATACTTCATAAAATCACACTTCAGTATAAATACTTTACAAAATCTGCTTTGTTGTAAAAAACAAACTTATAATACTGTGATAATTTGTGAAGATAAACTCAGTGAACTTAGAGTTACAGTATATATATATATATATATATATTTTTGTATTTATAAGGAAGGACAAACTGACCCCCTTCCTAAGAGATCCCTCCTCCCCAGAGGAACAGCAGAATGTCTGTAGGCTTACAATGCCAGAAACTGAGTTTCGATACTCGTGGTGGGCAGAGTACAGATAGTCCATTGTGTAGCTTTGTGCTAAATTACAAACAAACAATTTCCTAAGAGTTAATTAATATTCCCAAAATTATGATAAATATATACCATGAGGAAAGAAAACTTCTTGAAATATTAGAACTAATACAAAAATAAAACTAATCCAAAGTTTGAAAAATAATCAGTAATTTTTTATATTGTTACAACTAACCTTTTCCAGCAAAATCATACAAACGATTACACAGATCTGCAGGCAAATCATTAGAGAGAAATTCTCCTTCCAGTCCAGGGAAAAGACCAATTTGTTCTTCTGTTGCAATGTAGATAACTGCTGTTGTTCTAGCTGAAAATTCAGTAAATGATCCATCACATCTCGGAATAAGAAAAAGACCTTCTAAGTTATCGCTGTTCAAAGGGTAACTGAGTATGTATGACAGAATAGCTATCTTTTCTTCCTTACTAAAGCTTTTGTAGTGATCTCCTTTATGAAGAAGTTTACATAAATCTGCTGGTGTAACCAAGGAAACATTCTCAATGCTACACACATGTTTCAAGTAACACGGAATTTCTACAATGTTCTGTTTATACAAACTATAAGTCCTTGTAACAATATGATGCAGTAAGGGACTAAGCTCATTCTCAATTAGAAAGGTAACTTCTGTTAAATGCAGCCATTTTCCACCATTATTGTGGGTAAAAAATACTGGGTGTTGAAGAATATGGCTAAAAAATGGGGCAACAAGGCCCTGCCACTCATTTGTAACTTTGTCTTCAACAGGAAAGTGATCATAAACAAGACGAACATATTCAAGTGAGTTTCTACTTTTTTTGCTGTAAGAAATTAGTTCTTGTATAATGTTTTCATACACTTCTGGGAGAATTTCATTTAAAATACAGAAGTTCCACTGTATATCTTTCTCTGTGTGTGCAGAAGTTTTCACCTGATTCTTTGTTGGCCACTTGATGTGCCTGCGATTCTGGCTTAGAGCAAAAAATCCATTAACATGAACAGGAAGACCAGTAAAGTTTGTATCTGTTTTGGGAAGTGGAAGAATACAAAAAACACGGCCTTGAAGTTTCTCTCTGCTTTGATTAATCCGAGCAGCCATTCCAACATAAGGAAAATAGATAGAGGCACTGGCTGTACAAAGAGTTTCTAGTTGTTCTGAAAATGGATGACCCTTAACATAGTTTATTACAAGCCAGTCATTTTTTTCTTTTAAAGACTCCACTCCATCATCATTAAAATGTGCAGTTTCAATTGTTTTGGATTGAACACACTGAAATGAAGTTTCAGGGATATGTTCAGTTAAATTCTGCAATTGTTTCAAAAATTCTTTAGTCCTGTCAACATTGTAATTAGTTGCTTTAATTTCACACAGAGGATGATTTATACTCTTATTGTTTGAATAAATTATTTCATGTAATTCAATTTTCTCTACATAAGTCATAAAGAGCAAAACCTGTTGTACCTCTTCTTTGAAAACGTTAAACAAATCTTGCAATTTCTCTGAGTTATACAGATTATCAGACAGCTGTGATGGTTTCTGACGCAAGGGAAACCAGAATAAAGTTCCTGGAAAGTGTCCAGTTGTGAACAAGTCTTGAGGAAGTGTAACCACACCAGCAAGTGCATCAAACAACTTCTGACATTCATTCTTTGCATCTTGATTCAGTATTTTCAATTTAACCAATCGACAAATTTTTCTCATGTCTTTTTCTAGTGGATTAATGAATAGAATACGTTCTCCACTCAGAATACAAGGATAATCTGAAACAGAAGAGCAAAGTTCTTAAACTGTATTGTCTTACTCATATGCATATATTATCTTTGCCTGAATAAAAATGGAAACATTATTATATGTCTGTAAGGATTATAACACAGATTTTGATCTACATTTATTGTGGCAAATTTCTCAGTAAATATTTACATAACAATGAAAGTGGGTTTAAGCATTTAAGAAGAAAAATGACATTCTGTTGCTTTTCAACAATGAACTATATATTGGGGTGTTATTCATTAAAAAAACTGGAGAACTCGATGCTGTTAAACACCACAAAATAATTATCAACATACTTCCTCTCATATATCAGACTCAATATTTTCTGACATGACTTTTACCAAACTTTTTGATGGAAGCAAAGGAATAGGTTGGCATGGTCAGTCAAGACTGGAGCCCATAGCAAAATCATAAATCTGTTAACAGATTTTACCACTAAACATAAATGAGATGTTTAAAAAACATCTTCAGTTATACCACAAACAAATTCATTGTCAGCAAACACAATATTAATAGTTTGTCCAAATATATTTGTAAATAATGACTCAATATCATAACTAGCACAACTAATATGATAATTAAACTCTCGTTTTAAACTATAGAAAAATTAAAAAATATCCTTAACAGCATATTAACTTTGTACAAACTCTTTCAAAAACAAAGTCAAACACCTTGATAATGTTGGTTATAGGTGCTTACACTAGAAACAATTGGTCTAAATTGATATCCCTCTTTGTGGACCTGATAAAACCCTATACTGTGAGCCCATTGTTTTCTGATGTTTTGTTATAAATCTTCTGCTATGACACCTTTTTTTATGGCTTCCCTGATTGCTGTGAGATCAGTCCTAGATGCTGTAAACTTACCCATATTACTTTGTCTAACTTTCACTTTAAAATTTCTGCTCCAATGCCTTTACTCAGATTTGTCCTTACAATTTTTAAGACTTTCAAAGCCTTTGTTTTGCCCTTTTTTTAAGTTACTGTTCTTTTTTCTGAGTTACAATTTTGTAACATCTCCAGGCCAAAACCAGGGATTTGAGTTTTAATATGTTTGAAAAATTGTGCACCCATATGACCATGACTGAAAAAGCCAAATCATTCACTATTTGGTGTGGCTAATGTGGAGAATGCAACAATTGGCTGATGATGGCTGGCAATTCTTAAGCTTCAAGAAGACACATCAAGGACTTGGTATTAATAATGCTTGGAGATGGCTTGAATGGGTAATGAAGAAAAACTTTAATATAAGTTTAACATAATATAACCTTGTTGAAACATTGTACATTTGCTGTTATATTAAACTTATATTAAAGTTTTTCTTCATTACCTTTTCAAGCCGTCTCCAAGCATTATTAGTCTCAAAGTAGGTTCCTCGTCATCGAAAAGGACTTGGTATCTTGTAAATGTCTTTTAAGTTGACCTACAACATTATCCTGACTTGACAGTACTTGTACATCTTTCTAAATGACATCAGTGAATGTCCTCCATTTGTTTTATGTCTGGCTCAGCATGGTTGTAACCTGCACTGCGGGTTAAACTGTTACTTTTAGAGTTGGCAGAACTTTAATGTTTCGAGTCATGAGATTCATATTTCAGCCACTTTCTTTATTCGCTTGGAAAACTGTACTCCTGGGTGTACTGCATACACACATACAATCAAATATACATCCATGTACATATATAATACACGACATCTGACTTAACACTCATTTACACCATCTCAATGTCACATCCTAGCACATGCATACTTGTAATACATAATATCACCATTCAGCAAAATCCTCAATAACTTTCTGCATCTTGTACAGGTTCCAGGTGCCACCTTAATAATAATAGTAACCACAGAAACAAATAAACAGAAATTCAACTTCTTACCATAACCATTTAACCAGATTACAGCTTTTTGTTCTTACCTACTAAAACAGTATGCACAATATACAAGTTAATTTGTGGAAATACAGATAAAATCAAAACATAACCCAAAAATATAGAAAAGTAATACACATTTCATATGAATTTATATTATCCATGTTAAATATTCATTTTGTGTTACAGCACAGCTCTCTCAATGCACAACAGAAAGATCGGTATAGACATACCAGACTATAGTGCATAATCTTGCATGGCAACATAAACACAAAATCTCATCATCTCACACACAAGCTTTTATGTTCATTCAGGAAGCCTCTAAGCAAATAATCACTGGCATTAAACAAAACTTAACCTGATTGGTTAAAAAGTAAGAACTCTTAAGCCCCTTTTAACCTATTTGTATGTTTTTAATTTTTTAAGCTTTATTAATGCACAGTGCCAACTTCATACCTTCAATTTTGTTGTTCTCTTAAAAAAGAAAACCTTTTATTTGAAATACAATATGTAAGAATCTCCAGTGCTTTTGCTAATACTTTGGTAAACTCTGTGTTTCTGTTAAAATGAAAGTGTCTATTATAATATTTAGCTATGTACATAACCTATGTTCCATTTGTAATGATAAAAAATGTCTGCCTTCAGTGCCAGACTTATCTTACTTTCAATACTCATTCAAAAGAATTGCCACTTATTTTCAAGCCCTTTAACTGCTTTTTATAGTTACTTTCAGTGTTCTCAAAATGTTAGTAGATTTGTCAAACCATTGTGATTCCTCACTTGACTCCTTGTGGACAGCCAGATGTTCCAGCATCACCCTCCTCACTGACTGAGTCAAAATTATATGACAGAGTACTCTCAGAGTCAACCTGTTACAACTAATACTTCTCAAACAGAGAACACAGCACGTGGCCAATGCAGTTTATAATTCACCATATTAAGCTGTTCACATGAGAGATAGGCTAAATCAAGCCAAAACTGAGTTATTGGTGCTGTAGCTCTACCCAGAAACCAGGCATGAACATTCATTTTGTTACTGTTTTGTCATACACCTCTTTTTTTTGTTGTATGGTTGCTTGCACTGTGTATTGAGAATGCAGCCACACATTAAACTCACTGTGTACACAATGCATGGAAAGTTGCTCAGTTGAATGGCACACAGTCAGCTGGATCACAGTCTATAAACTTAACGTGCAAACACTTGAATGCAGCCACACATTAAACTCACTGTGTACGCAATGCATGGAAAGTTGCTCAGTTGAATAGCACACAGTCAGCTGGATCACAGTCTATAAACTTAACGTGCAAACACTTGAATGCAGCTAAACCAACATTGAATGACAGAGTGATATATAAATTTTCACTACACCCAACACTTAAAAACAACTCTGCAAATAACTGGCTATATAAGTTGGATTCTTAATTCATATGGATCTTTCCAGATACTTTGAAATGAGTTATGTATTATTTGGCCAACACATTGATAATGGACAACACCAATTCATAAGCTTTGCTTCCTTGATGTATAAAGCGATAATGACAATAACGTATACACATTTGGTCAGAAAACAAACTATATATCTAGGGCTATTCTCTGTGGAAGTATGCTCTGGTGTGACCAGTTTCTCCAGTCTTTATGTGAGTATAGCCAAAAACTGCTTCTGGATGTTTGTGACAGTGCATGGCACAACTTGGTACCCTAGGGTCTGTACATTATGCAAAGTCCAAAACATCTCCTTTTTTTTTATGGCTATAGCAAAAAGATACATAAATATGATTAAACTGTGAACTTTTAACTGACTGCACAAGTGCCACAAATTGCATGTTTGGTACAACATTTGCCAGTTTGTGAAAGCTGTGTTTCACTTTTGATACACATCAAGTAGAACCAAAGTTATGTCATTTATTTGATTTTACTGAAGTTACTATAAAGGCTTTGATGAATGCATGGTGTCCAGCCCAGGATGTTCAACAAAACGATGTGCTCACAGTAATTGGCAAGATAACTCATGCTTCAGACACAAGCAATGATACCCAATATGTCCTTTATTTATAGTTCATTAACAATTTCTAGAAATGAAAAGTGAACTCTCTACCATTCAAATATTGTTGTACTATTAAAGTTTGAGGCTGTTAACACATGACTAACATAATGATCACAAGACCCATATTGTCTCTATCCAATGACAAATCCACACATCTCGTAACTACGAAAGTATCCATGAGAGTAATAATACTATGCTTTTTGATAATGTTCGCATATCTTTACAAAATTTTGCAGAAATATAGCAAACAATTATCTCTTCTAGTTACATACTTTGTACTTATTTTCCATTTCCCATAGGTTACTAAGCCTTATTAAATTTTGCATGTGGAGTATGTGAAACAAAATCTTTTTTTTTAGGTTTTATATATACATTTAGAAGTAACAAAAAATCATAAATTACTAATATCAGTACCACAGAATTTCACTGTAATTTATCAAGCTTAGTAACTAAGCTGTATTTGAATCTGAAAAATATGAAATTTTGACCACTAAAGATAAAAATAGGTGTATGTAAGTGTTTCCAAAAATGGAAAGAGGTGGGTGGGGCCTCTGTTTGATTTAGTAAATGTTGGGATATCCTAGGAAAGACAAAAGATAGTAAGTGTAGTAACAAAGTGAGTGACAACATTAACAACATTGGTTTATATCTTTAGTTACAATACTAATTATGTATTGCAATAAGCTTTCTTTGTTTTACATCAAAAGTATTGCTTTGTTTCTTCCCAGTATTTGTTAAGTTTCCAATATCTTACTTCCCAGAATACAATGAAGACTACTTGTAAACATTATATTCCTTGTGTATCTTAATAACATATATTTTATGTTAAATCTTTGTAAATAATTTTCATCAAGTCACAATAACTCAGTTTTAACATAATTAATCATACATTATTAACAGACACAAGGAAAAGAACGTTTACAGTAGTATTTTCCAGAGTATACTCAAACAGTATTCTAACATGATTAGTGTTCCATGTTTGATAGAAGTGTAAACGACTAGCCAAATGTACAGCAGAAAAATATCTCAAATATGTTGTTACCATAACCAACCTATAAAAAACATCTATTATTGTAATTCTGAAAGGTGTCCTGGTAAGAAACAGAA